GAAAACGGGGGTGACAAATATTCTGACAAGTTTTCATCCAGTTTTCGGATTGGCACTGTGCCATCCATGAATTTTGATATACTGTACGCGTGATGCAGATGTGCGTGATAGCTGAATTTGAAACATTTAGCTCCTACATGGGCAGAGAATATCCCTACAAAGTTCCAGTTTCTCATATTTACTGATCCTGAAATATTCTCCTGCCAAAAATTCGCACATTTATTTAAAGCGTCCACACTTGAGGTCCAGGAGCGCATGAGAGCTAATTTTGAAGTGGTAAGATGGTACATGAGGTGAGATTATGCCGCTACAGTTTCATCTTTCTAGCTTCACTGGTTGCAGGGTTGAAAGTGGGTGACAAAGTTTACCAGCTTGCAAATACACATTTATAGGCGAACCGTTGAATAGTGTGCGTTTTTCAGTTGCACAAGATCCAAAAAGGTGTAACATAAGACTATCGCAGCGATTTTGATATTCGCTGTACAGTGGTAATAAAGGGACTCCACAGATGCACTTAAACATTCTGTGCATGTTACTTTTCTTCCCCTACTTTACTCTTTCGTACTGTAAACTACTTTGAAAACACCCAATGACATACGGTTTTAGCTGGAATAACTCAACATTGCTGCTAAGTTGTTAAATTTTATCATAAAACTTTATCATTAAACTTATCTTTTTTTATCATTAAACTTATCTTTATATCATTAAACTTATCATAAACTTTACCATTTTATCATAAAATTTTATCATTAAAGTGATTTTTTTTTTAATTGTAACTAACGGTGCAATCCAAAATTTATGGTCGTTTGTGAAAGCACGTCTGCAGTCGCGATTATACAATAGCATACAAAGCTGATAAACTGAGGTGAACAGTGGACAAGATGAGATTTGCTTCGGCTCTCAAAAAAAAAAATATTCAATTATTCAAACAATCGCATGAAAAAAGGTAACTTATTTGATTAAAAAAAAGTGCATAAATTACCAATATATGCATTCCAAATCACGCGGAAACAAAAAACATTGCAGAATTTGGCAATAGCACATAACTGATCAATAGTAAATGGACCGCCTTTTTCATACATTTCTTCCTCATCGAGAATCCTACAATAAATTCACCTTATTAGTTTAAATAAATAACGGTGCGCAACAAGGCAGCCCGTGCGATTATGAGTTTTGTGCAGTTCCGTCCAGCGAACGTCTGCCTGCTAAGGATTTTCACTGTTTTGCACTTTGGTCTGTGCAAAAACAGTTCAAATGTTGTCTGGTTCCTAAGTTGCGAATCTCCCAATAAAAGTTTTACACACCTCTATAGGTAAGCTGAATTTAAAATCTCGAAAGGTTGAATATCCTTCCAAAATTTTAATCTCCTAGTCCTCTGGCTTTCGAGTGATTTCTGCGACAAAATTTTTACATGAGACTTTGTACGTGGGACCTCGGCATACTTTGGGACTGAATTCGACTTGTGAAGCCCCTGCTTGGACAGGAAACATCTGTCTGAAATTTTCAGCCTCCTAGCTCTTCAGATGATGATTTTCTCCGCAAAATCTTTCACGGGGACGTTGAGAATTTGCGGAGTCGTATGACAGCAGGGAACGCTACGCTAAAATTTAGCTTCCAAGCTTTCGCAGTTCCCGAAGTAATAATTTTTTCCGCTAAAATTTTAGCGGAGTCATAAGTGATAACCAGAGGCAGGGGAACGCTGAATTTAAACCTTCGAGATCGTAAGTGGGTAAAGGACATTAATATAAAATTTCAGCTTCTTAGCTTTTGCAGTTAACGAGATAATAATTTCCCCGCCAAAAATTTCGTGGGGCGGCAAGTGGTACCCAGGGTTGCATGAAGACTGTATCCAAATTTGTGGGCCGTACGTTGGTAGGGGGACATCAACCCAAAATTTCAGATTCCGGACTTTCGTGGTGACCGCAATAATAATTTTTCCCGTCGAAAATTTCATAAAGCCAATAGCTACTAGCCGAGAGCGCGAGGACGCTGAAACTGGATTTGCGAGATCGTACTTGGGTAGGATGTTACTCCAAAAATTTAGCTTTCTAGATTCCGCGGTCTCGAGATAACAATTTCCCCCACCATCACGAGGCCGTATGTGTTATTCGCAAGAACGGAAAAGCTAAATTATATTTGAGAGGTCGCAAATTTCAGATTCATAGATTCCGTGGTTCCCGAGACAATAATTTTCTCTGCCAAAACTTTTACGGGGCCGTATGTGTTACCCTTGGGCAGAGAAAGGTCGAATTTAAATTTTCTCGGCTACACAAAGGCAGGGAACATACCCAAAAAAATTTCAACTTCCCAGTTTCCGTAGCTCCCGAGATAATAATTTTCCCCGCCAAAACTTTCAGAGGCCGTACCAGCAGGCACGGGAAGGCTGAATTTAAATATGCTAGGTTAAACGTAGGCGGGAAACACCACCCTAAATTTTCAGCCTCCTAGATTTTGTCCCGAGTCGAAAGTTGCGGACAAAATGCATCACATACATAAAAGCACATACAGACAAACCCGTGACATTATGGGTTTTGTGTAGTTGTTGCATAGTACAAACGCATAAAAAAGTGGTGCCAGGAGTAGTACAGGATGTCAATATCCGTTGCTGAAAGTTTTAGCTGTGGCTGAGTTGTTTTTGAGAGTGCCGTAACTTGTGTAAACGTCAAAGTCGCGGTAACAACAAAACTTATTTGCCATCCATATCGTTTGCTGGTGAAGTAATATGAAAAAAAAGGAGACTTACGAGATGACTGAAGCTGCGCAATTTGCGAACAAAACCACTGGAGCGAAATGCGCCACTGTCGAAGGGTGCGATGCAAATAAAGAAAGCACATGGGAAAGCCCGTTGTCAGATGGCGATAAACCAACAATATGCTCCCATAATAATGGAAGAAGGAAATCTTCCCGACATAGCCCTAAATTTTTTAAATTTACAGTAACCTGCAGAAGGTCATCGTACTGAGATCACAAACGTCCTTGTCGCACTGACTTGAAAATGCTGATTTTGCTATAACACGGTACAGGAATATGTTAGTTCTTAAGAAAGGATTAGGAATAGGTACGAAAAAGAAACGGATAAAAATGACAGCGTGGGAAAGTTCCAATCAAAAGGAACGGAGGTTGAAATCTATCCACTCCGAAGACATGAATGTGGATGCTTA